TCTTCAACTAAGAGATAAGGTCTTCATTTTGTACGCCGATGTTACCAAGTTCCGATGTAGCTGGTGCATGAGTGCAGAGACTCCGATTACTTCTTATTTTACTTTCTTTGACCTGCATGCACAATATGAAATCATAAAAGCCACAAACATCACCACACCGACACTGAGCAGGACCATTTCAACCAGGCCAAGGAGGTTTATTTTTCCTGTCACTTTATTTCTGAACATTTCTGCTTTCTCCTCACCAATGGTACCAGTCTCATTAAGCCAAAGAATAGGCACAAGATAGTTCTTCTTCAGATTCTTTAATGTCTCAATTTTTTTTGATGGCTTGACCAATATATTGATTTGAAGACGTTTTGCAAATTGTAAAGTGAATCCAGCTATAGGTTCCACATCCAAATACGTCTTATGTTCTTCTTCATTTGGATTTAAGCCTTCAATGTTTGCTGCAATCTCTGGGCTTGCATGTAGAAAATGAGGAAGTGAAATATATACTGGTTTTCCTTCTTTGCACTTGCCAATATCTAGTACACCATACAATGTACAATTCATTGAAATAATTTTTTCTGTGCAGAAACAATGGTTGTCTGGAGAATCTCTTTTCTTGACATAGAGATGCAATCCAAATTAAAGACTGTATTCCTTGATCTTCTGCAACAAGTGCTTCAAAGTCCTCCTCACTTTCAGCAAGCAGGGTTGTGTCATCTGCATAACACAGGTCATTGATTGAGTCTCCCTCCAATCTTGATGCTGCACTCTTCTTCATGAAGTCCAGCTTCTTTATAATTTGCTCAGCATACAGATTGAATAGGTATGGAAAGAGATTACAAACCTGACACACTCCATTCTCAATTTTAAACCATGCAATGTTTCCCTGCTCTGTTTTCACAACAACCTCCTGGTCCAGATATAGGTTTTGCAGATCAGATATAAGTGCTCTGGGACTCCCATTCATCTCAATGTCAGTTACAACTTGTTATAATTCACACAATCAAATGCCTTTGCATGGTTAATAAACCACAAGTAGACATTCTTCTGGTATCTTTTACTTTCAGCCAGGATCTATTTGATATCAGCAATGATATCCCTGGTGCCATGGCTTCTTCTAAATACTGCTTGAACTTCTGGAAATTCTGGAATAGTTATCTATGTATTGTTCTAGCCATTTTTGAATGATCTTCAGCAGTATTTTGCTTGCATGTGATATTATTGATACTGTTTGATAGTTTCCACATTCAGTTGTATCCTCTTTCTTGAGAATGGGAACAAATGTGAACCTCTTCCAAACCATTTGCCCGATATCTGTCCTCTAAATTTCCTGGCATAGACTAATGATCACACCCAAGGGTACTTCTGTTAATTGAAACAAGTCACTTGATATCCCATTGATTCCTGGGGCCTTATTTTTTGCCGATGCCTTCAGATGCACTTCCACTTCTTTACTCCTCCATTACCATTGGCTCCTGTTCATATCCATAAGGATATGCATGGTTGAATTAAAAATAAATTTGTTTTGTAAATTATCACTCAAATTATAATTTAAAAATATGACATATATGTATTTTCAGAATTAGGTTCCAGCCTATGTTTCTAGATCTGCTTCAGCTCTCCTTTGGCTACTTCCCTGTTATCTTCTCATAATCTATTACCTGGAAGTAGGACAATAACTGAGAAGAAGAATTGATGTCTGTAAGCTTTGGTGTTGGAGAAGAGAACTGGTTATCCCTGTGGACTGATGAAAGTAGAAATGGTGAGGTAGAAAAGGCCACAGAGAACCAGATGAAGTGAAACAAAGGAGTTTATTACCATCTCTTTGATGAAATTTCGCAGTCCCAGGCCACAGGGAGGCAGTGAGAAAAGAGGAAGTTTTAGGCAATTTTTTCTTAAGAATGGATTGGGGGTAGGGTGGTCAGCTCAATGATTAGTTCTCCATGGAGGGCAAATATGGATTTGGCCAGTCCATTTAGGTGGATTGTGTCATTGCAGACAGTTAAGCAGGATGTGCCCAGTGGTTGTGCTCTCTTTTGATAGGCTGTAGCCATCTTACACCAGGCTGATTGGAATGTCTCCCAGAAGGTGTGGTTAGTGTGGAATGTTGTCCAGCTCCCAGGTGGCCTTTCATTCCATCCTTTTCGGTTGTATAGAGGTGACATAGTCTCTCTTGCTACTTCCTACTGAACAGGGGCGGTGAATGGGGCTGGCTGGTGGACTGAGAGGAGGTTCACTTGGGAGCTGGGAATATGGGTGGAGCAGCATTTGGTTTACTGTGACTTGGGAGATATCCTGGATGTGATTCTGTAAAAACGAAAAAAAAAAAAAAAAAAGGGGGGGAGCAACCATTAATGCTGAGCAGGCTATTAAGAGAGGATCAAGAACTGTGACTAGCCAGGTAAATAGGGGAGCCTGCCACCACCCTGGTTGTGTATTAGTTAAGCCCTTTCCCTTCTTTAGCTCTTCTTTGAGTTTGTGTATAGTATCTAAGTTTTTCTCTACTACTCCACTTTCATTCATATAATAACAGCATTGTTCATTAAAAAAGATATACATGCCACCTTTATTGGCTGTGAGCAAGTCCAGAGCTTGTATGTTCTGTAACACTACCTGAGCAAGAGAAGTGATTTGTCACTGCAAAGAGGCCAAAGAGTTGGCAGAAGCATCTATGGCTCTTTGTAGTTGTTGTTTTAAATCTGCTGATGTAACTACGGGGTGGCCTAGACCACCACCACCTACACCTGTAGCAACAAGAGAGAATACTAAGGAAATTCCTACTAGTATAGGGAGGAAAACTGTTCTTTTGGAGTAATAACTATGAGGAGGGTTAAAGAGGGCTGATAGTTCTTAATGTCCATACATCATGAGTTGAGGCTCTAATATGGTCGGAACACAAGGGAACAGGAATAAGGAATTAATATGTTTAAAAAGAGTGAAGTTGCACCAGAAAAAAATCCTCCAAGGGGGCATGTATTGAGTTTGACACAGTTGTGGTATATTGCAGGTGCCTGAGGAAAAGGAGGAGGAGGAGGTATAGCAATGAGCATAGTTGGTATCTTCATTGGGATGGAACAGGGGAACAGAGGGTATGGGTTTCCTGGAGAACAAATTATGGTATAATTAAAGGCTGAAGGGAGAGGAAATGCCAAAAGCGGGGAGTGGTTTTAAGGTGCTATGAAAGCAGTCAGTAATATCTGTTGTACCAGTATGATTAAGTAGAAAGACTCCCTGGCAGATTAGGGGTATCCAAGAGAAAATTTAGCTGGCTTGTGGGTTCAAGACTGATTGGAGTGAAGACTCGTGTAAGATGGGGAAATGGGAGGTGGGTAGTGGAATGTATGAGAGGAGTGTATAGAGGTTGGGAACTACTAGGTGTATGGTGATGACTGCAGTATTGATGAAGTGCAGATCTTGGACAAGCCTATAAGCCCCTGATGGTTTGCGAGACTTGGAGGATGGTAGTATTGCAAGGGGAGTTAGTGCGGATAAGGAGGTCTTGGCTGAGGAGCCAGGAAATGATAGGAAGCAAGCCACGTCTATGAATAACCGAGATTGGAAAATAGGGTCAAGAAGGGAATAGCATGGGGTCTTTTAGAGAGATGCAAACAGGCATGAGGTGAGAGGCAACTACAGGCTTTGAAGTATCCCATACAATTGGGTCTACTTCAAAGGGAAGAGGGGGTAGCTTGCTATCCTAGGAGGTGGACAGGTGAGAGATGAGAGGAAGTAAGAGGGAGACATTTGCAGAAGGAGGTGAGGTTTGGGGAATAGAGATGTTTGCTTGGAGTGATTGTTAGATGTCTCTACTGAACAAGGGAATGGGGCAGGAAGGCATAACTAGGAAGAAATGTGTGAAAGCTGTTCTGTCAAGTATACAGGGAAAAGGAGGAGTTAGATGTGGGAAGATGGGTTTACCATCAATCCCCATGACTGTGACCTGGGAAGGAGTAGTAGCACCTGAGAAGTTTGGAAGGACAGAGAAAGTAGCCCTTGTGTCTATTAAAAAGGATATAGACTTACCCGCTACCATAATGATGACGTGAGGCTCAGCGAGGGTGAAGCCAAGCATTGTCAATCTTCATCAGTGAGACCCAGGAGTTCCATGGGCAGGACTGCCTCACAGTTGGATGGTATCTTGCTGCGACTATGCATAGTGGTTGACCAAGCTACAGTTGGGCAGTTGCTTCACCAGTGACCTGGTTTTTTGCAGGCTGGGCACAGCTTGATTGGCTGTCATGAGTGTAGGCACATCCTGGAGCACTGGTCATCCAGGCCACACTTGAAGCAGACTCCAGGTGGGGTGGTGCTGTGCCTGGGACCCTTCTTACCCTACTGCACTGGCTAGAGGGCTGCCACTATGGCCTGGGTTTGGAGTGCCACCTTCTGGTGCATGCAGGCCTGTTTGGCCACTTCAGCCCTGTCCTCCATGGAATGAACAACTCGAAAAGCCATATTTACCAGATCACTGATAGGGGTTTGAGGGCCATTTTCAGCCTTCTTGTATTTCTTTCGAATGTCTGGGTGATGAAATGAGTAGTTAGAACCTGGAGTGGTGGAGGGATCTAGGTGGGTATATTGTGTTAGGGTTTCAGTTAGACAGTTTAGAAAGACAGCTGGGTTTTCTTCAGGGCCCTGGGTAATCTTCTGAAGTTTGTTGTAATTAATAACTTTCTGAGTGGTGATTTATATGCCCATTAGAAGACATTGGACCATGTGATCTCGCCGGCGTATACCATCTTGGCCCTGTTGATAAGTCCAGTTAGGCTCATCATCTGGGACAGCAGCGGCACCTACTGGCATTATTTGGTCAGTAAAATGCACCTGTTCTGCATGTGCTCGAGCAACTGTTAGAATATGGTCCTTTTCATCAGAGTGAGAGTGAATGTGAGAATGACATAGAGAGCATGCCAGGTTAGATAATAAGCTTGAGTAAGATAGCAAAATTCTTTATGATATTGAGTAGGGTTTGCAGAAAAGGATCCCCGGTGTTTTGGCAGAGAGATCAGATAGTAGAAAGGGAATATGACTCCTGAAAACGCCTTCTGTTCTGGCCACTCACGGAGAAGGCAAAGGAGGTCGGTGTCTGCAGCAGGCGAAGGGAGGCTGGGAACAGAGGTGTTGGAGCTAGGGGGAAGGGGATCATGACAGCATGTATGGGAGTTAATGGGATATAGAGGAGGTAATATTGCTGAGGAAGTAACTTCCAGTTGGGGATAAGGAGGAGGTGGCAGAGGAAGAGGGATTGTGGGAAGGATAGGAGCAGCTTGAGATGAGGAGCTTAGATCTTCAGGCAGGTCAAAAGAGAAAGAGGAAGAGGAGGAGGAGGGAGCTGAGGGAAGTTCAGTGAAAGGCAAAGAAGGAGAAGGATTTTTTCAGGCTAGAAGAGCCTGAGCTGTGGAACAGTTTGAACACAGTTCCAGGTGAGAGTGAAGAAGCAAAAAGCTTGAATATAAGGTATCTCTGAGCCCTTGCTGAGACAGTGGCAATAATTGTCTAGTGCTGTGGGCAAAGTGTAGTCTAATGTGCCACCTGAGGGCCAATGAAGCCCACCATCTAATTGGTATTGAGGTCAAGAAACATAACAGAAGAAGATGAAAGTCTTCTTTCATATGTTTAAATGGTCCCAAACATTAGACCAATCAGAAAGTAAGTGCCCAAGTGGTGTTTTAGGGTCAAATTTAGAGGATTGCAACCCATTTCCACCTTGTCCTGGGGCAAAGTGTCCACAAAGAGCAAGGGTGAGGTCAGCTGCTGGAGGCCTGGGGCATCCCCTCAGGCCCACAGAGCTCAGGGGCTAGACCTAGTCCAGCAAGGCACAGGAAGCCCTGACAAGCACTATAGCCAGGGCTCCTGGAGAATAGGACAGGGAAGAGGGCTGCAGATAACTTATCACAGAGGGCCAGGAGGAGGCACAAGGCTCGGGGAGGGCCCAGTTCATGGCCCTGTTCTCGGTGGAGGAGTGTCCAGAGGCACACACTCCTCCTGGGTTTGGCCCTGTTCTCGGTGGAGGAGTGTCCAGAGGCACACACTCCTCCTGGGTTCTCAGCACCAAGATGTGAGGTAAAAAAGGCCATAAAGAACCAGATGAAGTGAAACAAAGGAGTTTATTACCAGCTCTTGGGAAATATTCCACAGTGCCGGGCTACAGGGAGGCAGTGGGAATAGGAAGTCCCAAATGAGGAAGTTTTAGGCAAATTTTTATAAGCAGGGGTTGGGGATCAGGTTCTCCATGGAGGGTACTGATTGGGTGCCTTCTGTTAGTTCCCAAATATGGATGTACTCAGTCCCTTTAGGTGGATTGTGTCATTGCTGACAGTTAAGCAGGATGTGGCCAATTGAGCTTTCTTCTGATTGGCCATAGTCATCTTACATTAGGCTGATTGGAATGTTTCCCAGAAGGTGCGGTCAGTGTAGAATGTTGCCCAGCTCCCAGGTAGCATTTCACAAACAAGTATGTCTTGGAGAAAGTGCAACCAGGGTGCTCCTTGGAGGCAAGACTGACAAAGCTTCCTCACACATGCTTTGGACATGTTGTTAGGAGGGCCTGTCCTTGCAAAAGAACATCTTGGAAAGGTGGAGCATCAGCAAATGAGAGGAAGAGCCTCAACAAGATGGATTAACAACGTAATTGTAACATTGGACTGAAGTGTGTTAGCAATGGTAAGGATGGCACAGGATAGGACGAAGTTAAAATTCATTGTTCATCAGGTTGCTGCACATTGTAGTTGACTCAATGGCACCTAACAATAACAACATAACCCCTGGAAAATCTTGCAAATGACTTCCTCAGAGTCTCCTTCCTGAACCGCTTCAAACAGATGTAGGCTTGCTCCCACTCTTCAGACCCTTATCATGATGCATACTCACTCATTGCCTTTTAGTGGGAACTGACTCATAGCTGACCTCAGAGCAGGAGGAGATTGCTCATATTTCTCCATTGGATCTGTGAATGGATTCAGAAAATCAAAGAGGCACTTCTGTTAGCCGCACAGAGCTCATATGACTTCTAAAATTTTGATAAGCATAACAACAACCCTGACTCCTGTCCAAATTCACATTTTAACTTGTCTAAGACTTGCATTTCTCACCAACTCCCAGGTGATGATGTTATTAAGCACAATAGAGTTATCAGACCAGCAGAAGGTGTGTGTTTGTATGGTGGTATGATGAGTGTGTATATTTCTCTTTCTGCTTTAAGACAACAATTTGCTTTTTTTTTTTTTTTTGTCACCAGCACAAAGGATAGAGCATGATTCAGTGAAGATTTATTCAATGGGAACTCCTCTTTTGTCACACATTATTTTCCCCTCCTCTGTCCTTATTCCTTATTATATAGACTTTTATGCTGCTTTATTTACAGTAAACCTTTATTTTTTGCTGTTGACTTTCTCTTTAAGGCAGATATATTTCAGTTGCTTGTCAAGTCAGGATACTTGGAGAAATAGCATGAATTAGTACACTTTCCTGAGCCTTGAGACTGCAACCACCCTGTCACCCATATTTCACTCTGCCTCAAGCTAATTGTCATTGCTAAGTATGGCTCAGATCCTCTGTAGAGATAAGAATTGTATCCTGACCAATTCCAGTGAGCTAAGATGTGTACTGGTTTTAAATGTGTGCTTTTCAAATGGTGAAAGGAAGGAGTTTGTGAAGGATAAGTGGCCCTCATCTATACCATCCCAGGATGGCCTCATGTTCCCTTTGCATGGTGAGTGCTCAGAAATTTCATTTCTTCACAACAGATAATATTTATAAACAATTTTCTTCTCCTTCTTGTTTATATTTTTGCATATGGACTTCTCTGGTCTCATATATGCAGTGAGCTCAATAGAAAAACCAGCTTATACGTCAACCGGTGGAAACGCACGCCAGACTGGGGGAACGCTGCCGCCAGAACGGGGAACGCCGCGAGAGGGACCCGGAAGAGACCCGGGGAGAGCAGCAGCCAGCCACCTGCCGTGGAACTCCAGAGG